GATTTCTAAATTAGAAAGTTGGAAGGGGGGGGGAGGGAAAGTATGGTAAAGGAATAGGGAGGGGGATTTCTAAATGCTACAAAATAAATATTGATTTTTGAAGCACAGTCATTTGAGATAATTTCAAATACAGTTTAAATTCGGCCTGCTAGTCCTAGAGCTGAAATGCCAAGGAGGCTAGAAATCATGATTCAATCAACTAACTTAGAATTGTAAAATCAATAATCGCTATTTTTGTCAATAATATTTACTTTATTTATAAGTTTTAGTTACAATACGAATTTTTAACTATCAATAGCATTTTTTGTTTGCATCTGGATATAGGAAAAATTGTTTAACTTTGTAACTTTGCTCGTTAAAACAGGAAAATCAGAGAAAAAAAAGTTTTCTGATGAATTTTAGACGAAGAAAAAAGTTATTTCTCGCTTCCCTATAATTTCTCTTTCTTTTATCAACAGACAGGGTTTGCAAGTCACTGCTTTTAATACTTTGTAGGAGCGAGAGAAGACATTTCCGCAATAAGTAAATTATAAATAGAAACTTTGTTATATACTTTTGTTATATAATATTGTGTAATAAGTAGTTAATTTGTAATTAATTCTTATTATATGAACCACTATGTGATGCAACATTATTTAACGGAACGTTATATAAAGGAATGTTATGTAATGGAACATTTTGCAATAGGATATCATGTTGATAATAAAACATTAGACTAAATGGATTGGAATACTTTGGAAGATTTTTTAATAAATTATTAATAAATTTGTTTAAAATCAATTTAAAGGGGTGCACTTGTACCGAAATTTAAAAGTGAACTTCAACAGAAAGAGATTTGTTTGTATTTATCTCTCAAATAGTTTTGAAAGTCCGTGAATTGTGGTGTACGCTAGCGTACAGTGTGAAGTGAGCTAAACTCAGCCGACGTCACATGGACTCATCAAAAACGTCCAAAACGGGTTTTAAAAATTCGAGGGGGATAAGGGGCTGAAGAATGGAGGTCTAGAAAAATTATTATGCTCAACTACTTTTGTATACATTGATGAGCAAACTGATGATGCATAAAGATGGTGAAGGGCCAGNTGATTTCCACTTCTAGTGCAATCCGTTTATAATTTTTACATGTAAATGTAAAAATATATCCAAAAAAATGTCCGAAATAATAGATACGTATGATGTGTGGATCGTGGGACCCAATTAAAACTGTAGAATATAAAGAAAGCAATCTAATTCTTATTAAATTATGATAAGGAAAATAGAACCAGAACACTGTGGAACAGAAAGGCGACATTATAGCTAGATTTATTCTAAGTTGTTGCAGAGCTAATAGATTTACTAGTAACTTAATGGAATGGTCTAAGAAAACTGCACAATTGTTTTACGTTTTTTTTTGAATATCTAAAATCATAACTTGAGTTTAAAAGTCGTCTTACTAATCCAAAGTTCTCGGGTTCCTATTCCAGAGTCTTATGAATCGCACTGTGTATAATTGTTACAAGTGTGCACTAAGGTGTATGTATGTAAATATACACTTTACATTATATATAGGATTATCATTACTAGAAATAGATCAAATATCTAACGATGCATTTGTGCATTATCAACAGACTCACTTACCCTTGTGCATTAATACATGCATTACAGGGATTATATTCATCTAAGAATTCTTAAGAATATAGATTTATATTAGATTCTGTATATTTATATTTGTATATATATTAATAACTAGATTATATATAGAATGCATATTGTTTAATATTCGGTAAAAAGAAAGGGTGGTATTGGGAGGGGGGTGAGTATTAGGCAGGGGAATATTAAGACCGGGAGGGGGGTTGAGGCAGGGAGAAGAGGGGGACGAGGCAGGGGGGAGGGGGGATNACTTAATTAAGTTTTACCAACTTAATTAATTTTGTTTAATTCTACATTCAATGCAAACAGGAGAGGGGAGAAGTTAAAAAGTATCCGACATTAATGGTAGTATTTTGTGACCTCATCTCTCCTATAGTGTTGCGAACACGCATGTCATGCACCCCTGCCTGACCCTTTAGTAAAAGTAAATTCAACCTAAAGTCTGACCGCGTCAACCTTGTTGCACCGGCTAGTCCTATTGAGTGTCTGCTTTATTTACCCAATGTCCAGGTGATACAGTACAAACTGGGACCGGAAAGTTAACCCGGCTCGGAAATTCAAATGTACTACGGCTGCCCGGTGACGTATGCAAAGAGCAAAATATTTGGTTACATATAAAAAATTAAAACAATTTTTCCTTCTCTTTTTAGTTTGAAATAAATCAATAATTCCTTTGAACCTTTGATTTTTCACAATAATTGATAAAATATATTAATTAAATATAATTTGATATCTAATCTCACTAAAATTACAACCATGGAATTGTTCTGTGATTTTAATTATTTTTGTTTCGTCAAAATGAAAATATTAGGATTATTATAGTTCGATGAGGAACAAAAAAATAATAAGGATAAAAGATGAATGAAAAAATAAGTACATATAAAAAACTTCTTTTCATAACAAATTTAAGATTGATCAATCTTTAAGAAATGTGGTTCGAGTAACATACCTTCTTTTATTTTTAAATTAAAATAGCCATAATGATTAAATAATAGTTCGCACATACTCAAATAATATTAGGTCTTTTAGATTTATTAAATTGTAACAAAAAATCTGATAATTTTATATTTTTCCTTGACCAAGTATTGATTAATTCACATTGAGAACTAAATCTAATGTGCAGTACATCCAAAAAAAGAAATACATAAGCAGAAGTTGGCTTGGTTTGCAGGTTAATTAGCTTTATGCGCAAATAGAAATATGTTCAAAAAAGCACATTTCAGCTTCTCCAACGGTCAGCTTTAGTGCTAGAACTTTTAAAACGTTTGTAAATTATCTTAAAGTCGTGATAAACAAATTCACAATTTTGATCAGTATATATTTTTGCGTATATTTCTTTATGCGTACAGAACTACATAACCTACAAACCAAGCCAAATTTTGCAATTGCATTTATTTTTCTTGGATGTACACATTAGATTTTGTCCTCAATGTGAATAAATCAATTAATATTTGGTCAAGGAAAAACATAAAATAATCAGATTTTTTGCACAATTTGATAAATCTAAAAGACCTTATATATCTGAGTAGTATCAATAATCTGGTAAAAAACATAAAAAAATGAAATAAAAAAAAATTTAAAGAGGACCAAAAAGAGTTGAAAAAAAAAATAATAGCGCATGATTAAAAAACCTACCTGAAGTTTGAGAAGTAGTTTCTTATTCTGATATTCTTGAAGTTTACACTTTTCTTCAAGAAATATTTTCCTCTCTTGATCTATCTTGAGTTTACGGATATATTCCACTGATGCTTTAAGTATTGATCCCTTGTTCTGCCGTACATCCCGGACAATATCAAAATATCTAGACATATATCCATTTATGATTTTCTAGCTGGACCACCCGGCGTTGCCCAATAACTTAACTTTACTCCCACCCCTCGGCGTTTTATTTTTTTCCACAGGCGACGCCGGGCCCTTCAGCTAGTGTTTATATATAAACAAAGAGCTTTTTTATATACTAGCTGAATCTTTTGTTATTTTTTATTTTGAAAAATAAACATTTCGACTTTTTAAACCGGGAACCCTTGGGTTTCTTAAAAAAAATTCAGCCCATTCGTGCGGTCCAGCGGTTTGGCGAGCTATAGCTAACATATATATTAATATATTTACAAAAGCGAAGAGCTTTATTATATAGATAAATAGATATATTGAACACGCTAGATTAGAAACCAAACATTTATCAATTGTAAAACGATTTGACATAGATCAATAATAAAACGTCATTTATTCTTCTTTCAAGCGAAAATATATACATGAATATCAAGTTACTTGAAGTTTAAAAAAAAACTTTTTTGAAAATGCTACAGTGAGACCCTTAAAACTGTGGAATACGAAGACGACAGTTATGATTTTAAATAGTACAATGAACATTAAACATGCAATTCTAGGAATATACACAAATCCATTTCCATTAAAAAGACGATTTTCTATATGCATAAAGTATTAATCTCTGTGTCTATCTGTTTGTATCATAACTCAAGAACCCCTTGACTGATTTGCCTCAATTTTTGTATGGGTAACTCAAGAGAACCATGTAATTATATTCTAAGTTTGGTTTGACAATTCTAAGCAAAAGTGGGTTAACTTTTGTGGCCTAAGATTTGATTACAGGCAAAGCTGGATTAACATTGAAGCTATAGTTTAGCAACATCAAGTACACACAATATTGATTAAAAGTCGTCTTCTTATCCCTTATTTTGATCGGCAGCGTAATATGTTTTTCAGTTAGATACAAAATAATTCGTTTTATATTTTAATTTCAATATTTGTTTCGAATAAAAAAAAGCGTTATTGTAGTTCAGGTTATAAAAATAAAATTTTCTTTTTCATTTAAAAATATTTTTTTTATTGTTAAAAACATTTGTTCTATTCCCGCACTTGTTCCCCTTGTGTTAATATTTGAAAATATTTTTTTAATTGGAGATGGTTTTCTTTTCAAATTTATAAATTAAAGCTAAGAAATTCAATTTTTATATTTTCTTTGAGAATTTTTATTTTTAAAATTTTTAAAATTAACATACAAGCAAATTAATTATCCTTACATATAAAGTCTTTACTTTAAGAAATTGGCTTGTTACATCAAACCAAGTTTAACTCTATCTAAAAATGTTCAGCTCTACCCCCCGCCCCCCTCAGCCTCCTAAGCTAAGGGTTTCTATACTTATGAAACAGATGTCCACACAGCAATCAATTAATCCTTACAAATACATCCCCAGCGTTGCATCTAACATCTACAAACCATGCACATAGCACAGGGCGGACCAAAATAAATGCAGTTTTTTAAAGTGCGTCCAAGAAAAATATTAACAATAAAATTAGCAAATACAATTTATAAAAATTAAAATCTTTAATTTTATCAGACTTCTTGTGTGCCCCCCCCCCCCCCTACTCCTCTTTATTTGTAAAAGAATATTTAGAATATTTACTCCCAAGTTAATATTTGGTTTATTTTGTTTACAAAACCAGAGAAATATTTATAATTCTGTCAATATTTATGAAGAACTGCAGTATCTTCAATCTGTTGGAAGGGGGGAGGGGCGTAAAAAATATTTAAAAAAAAACTTGATTTGAAACCTTTCACAGCCAAAAAAAAAATTAGATAAAAGATATTTTTGTTAAAAAAAAGGTTTCCTGCATTCTTCATCTTTGTCATTTTAGCCGCATAATATACAGTTATAAGAAGTATGCAGAAAATGTTACTAAAACTGTAAAGGGACAAATCATTTAAGAAAAAATCTCATTTTCCCTTTAGCCTTTCTCGTAAAAATTTTAAAAAGTTTGAATTAGGATGAATATTTAAGAAGAAGATAGATAAAGTTTGTACTTAAGGAATGTTGCTTTTAGAACAATATGTGAGGTTTAAAAATATATTTCTTATATTTGTTCAAATATTTCCTAAATCTATAAATAACATATTTTTTCTTACTGGTCGTCTTCCTTCGGTAGTAGTGTGCCCAGCTCCTTTATTCGATCATTTATATTGTATCTCCTTCTCCGCTCAACTAAACAGCAATACTTGAAAACATTTTGCGGATTTTCTAAATCTCCGAGATAAATTCTCCTGTCGGTAAAACTACTCTACAGATACTCGGATATTTATCAATTCTCGGAGAGTGAAATCTTTTCACGAACCAAATTATACTTTGGATTGAAAAATCTACATGATAGAACGATATTTAATTAAATGCATTGCAAGCTTGGTTCCTGAATTTAACTGCATTCTTAGGAAAAACTGTGTTAATTTCCTGAACCAAACTATTTCTTTGTTTTTATTACAAAATGCACAGTTTTTGGAAAAAACAAAAAAATCCTTTGTTTAAATGTGTTGCAGCGATTGCAGCAGTAATTTAAAGGGACTGTTCGCGTCATTTCAAGTGACCCTCCATGCAAAGAGAGGAATATATGCCCGATTTATAAGAGTATCCTTGAAACTTTTGACTAATTATCAAGGGCAAAACAAAACAACTTGCACAGTGCTTACAAATTAAAATCGTTTCGGTAGAGAAATAAGGAGAAGTCTAATTTAATAAAAAATATTAAATGTTTAATAAAGACCATTAACAAGTAAATATATTAATTTACTGTTAACAAACTGCCTTGACTTTTTACGCAACTAAAAAAATCATAAAAATTTTCAAAAATTGTTCAGCATGACGTTAACTTCAAGAAGAAAAAATTGAATAACTGCCAAACTATCCATTTTATTTTCATTGACAAATCATAAAGTTTAAGCAGACTTCAGGTAAATCTCGATGGAGTCAAACGCTTTTGCAAAGTCTAAATGGTACATTTGTTTCACTATTAGCTTGAGATAAATACCTAAAACACCAAATGCTGGTTTGTATGATTAAAAAGTTGAGCATTTTTTTATTTTGCTTTTTAGAGAAACAGCAATATAAAATAAAATAGTTTAAATACAAAAAAAAACTTTAATATATAATTTAAAGGTCAGACAAAGCCTAACATTTTGTTTAACAAGGATGAAAAGAGACCGAGAGTAAACTATAACTTACTCATGTTATGGTTATCCTTCTTTTGGCGATCCTTTTGTAATGCTCTGAGATCCTCCTCACTGAGGGGTTCCTCCTTGATGGCCATACTCTCCAGGCTGCTGCTCGACTTCGAGCTCAGCTGGTTGAAGAAGTCCAACAGGGTGGAGGCGTTAACCTCCCCGGAGCTCATGTTTATATCTGTATCTATTACTTTTAGGTCGGGCACTGCTCCATCCTAAATAAATATTAATTATAAAACTGATAATAAAAGCCAACCGCCCACCAGAGGTCGCTGGGTTTTCACTTAAGAAAAAATCTTGCAATTTAAAAAGATTTTCAAAATCGTCCAGAAGGTTGTGATTTGACGATTTAATATCGGAGAATTTACGTGGATATTTAATGCCGAATTCAAATCAGAAAAGCGTTTTTATAAAAATTGAAAATTGAGTGAGTTAGAGCTAAAAAACTCATCAAAAACATTAGCAAGTTAAAAACCTGAATTTAGTATCGTTATTTGCCCATAACTTCTTTAGATTTTAATAATTTTAAAAATGGTTTTCGAATGTGAATTCAGCATGAAATTTCCAAAAAAATGATATGTATCATATTTTTTTTTTAAATATTTTTTTAGGCCTTACGGCGATTTCTCTAATAATAAAACGTCAATTCGCAACCCTACGGACGATTTTTAATTTTTTTTACTACAATATTTTTTATAAAGTAAAAACGCAGCTACCTCTAGTGGGCGGCTGGCTGATTTCTAAAAAAAGTCACAAATCAATCACCCCTAATATATAGATAGAGGGATATATATATATAGATAGATAGATAAATAGATAGATAGGGGAAGTATGAAATGTGTTTAAGGAATGAATTTACTTTTCAATTTGGAGTGCAATTCTTTTTGTATGAATTAATTAACATTTTGTACTGAACTACATACATTTTTTATTCTTTGTAGGGTTTGAAGCATTAAGCGCTGAAAGTGACATGTGTCCAAATTAGACTAAGAACTAATCGAATATTCAATTAACATTTATTTTTGTCCAGAAGAACAAAGCAAAAGAACTTAAGAAAAAACTTTCTAGAAATGATTACTTATTTGTACTTGGAACACGCAATCCTTGATACAGTTATCAGATTTTTAACAGATGAGAGATTTTGTCATAACTCATAATTCTTCTTCATTTAAAACCTCCAAATATCAGGAGATGTTTGAATTCTATATATTTAATTTTGAAAAAGGCTTGGGCATTTAATGCATTTGTACTGGAACATTTTTTCATGAACATGTTTGTGTGAAATATGTGTACAGTGAAATTTGCGTGCATTCAGTGTACAACAGGTTTCAATGATTTTTAATTTATACACTATAGCTAAATGTACTGCACAATTTTTACCTCATATTGAAATCACATTTTCAAATATTTAAAAATAATATTTTTAGCTTTTGATCTGTCCAATAAATGTATGAATATACTTTATTGCATAAGCGTTTACAAATGTTCTATGGTTTCTTTGAATAAGCTTAACTTACAAAAGTACAAGAATTATCTTTACACCCCTGCTGTATTTAAAGAAGCCAATTACTTAAGTATTAAATGCCGTTGGTTTTCATCTTATAAATACCAAAAAAAAAATTTAGTTTGAAAATTTAAAATATTTTTTTTCTAAATTTGCTTTACCATATTTGTCTATATTTGTCTAATATTAAAAGGCGAGAGGGGGCGGGGNAAGAAAGTACAAAAGGGCGGGAAAAAATCAAAAAAGTGCATGAAACAAATTTGATGAAGTCAAGAAAGAATTTGAGTCACAAAATATATCTTCAGTAACTAATCTTTGTAACCCAAAGTCGTAGACCTTAAAATCAAAGTTTGAAAAATCAAAGGTTTACACTATAAGATTTCAAAGATATACGGTTTAGAAGAGTTGATTTTGTGGCAAGCACTCAATTCCTTTGAGCAATCCAAGTCGTTTTTGAGTCGGGATTAAAAATCCATTTTATTTTGATTAAAAAAGGAATGTTTTGACTTCTACCTATTTCAAATTGAATAAGAAATTCATCTGTTTTATTTGCTTCATCAATATTTTTGGAGTACACCTCTTCATTCAGAGATGGAGCTAATTAAAGCTAGAGTTTAAAACTGTACTATACATTCATGCAACTCTATTCTTCCCATTCTCAACTTTAATTAAATTCTATACATTTCTGTACACTTCTATACACTTCTATACACTTCTATATACTTCTATACACTTCTATACACTTCTATAGAGTTCTATACACTTCTATACACTTATATACCTTTCTATACACTTCTATACACTTCTATACACTTCTATAAACTTCTATACACTTCTATACACTTCTATACACTTCTATACACTTCTATACACTTCTATACACTTCTATACACTTCTATACACTTCTATATACTTCTATACACTTCTATACACTTCTATACACTTCTATTCACTTCTATACACTTCTATACACTTCTGAACACTTCTATACACTTCTATACACTTTTATACACTTCTATACACTTCTATACACTTCTATACACTTCTATACACTTCTATAGACTTGTATACTTTTATATACACATCTATACACTTCTGTACACTTTTGTACACTTCTGTACACTTCTATACGCTTCTATACACTTCTATACACTTCTATACACTTCTATACACTTCTACACACTTCTATACACTTCTATACACTTCTGAACACTTATATACACTTCCATACACTTCTGTACACTTCTATACACTTTTATACACTTCTGTACACTTCTGTACACTTCCATACACTTCTATTCACTTCTATACACTTCTATACACTTCTATACACTTCTATACACTTCTTTACACTTCTTTACACTTCTCTACACTTCTGTACACTTCTATACACTTCTATACACTTCTATACACTTCTATACACTTCTATACACTTCTATAGACTTGTATAGACTTGAATACACTTCTATACACTTCTGTACACTTCTGTACACTTCTGTACACTTCTATACACTTCTATACACTTCTATACACTTCTATACACTTCTGTACACTTCTGTACACTTCTGTACACTTCTATACACTTCTATACACTTCTTTACGCTTATATACACTTCTATACACTTCTATACACTTCTATACACTTCTATACACTTCTGAACACTTCTATACACTTCTATACACTTCAATACACTTCTATACACTTCTATAAACTTCTATACACTTATATATACTTATATACACTTATATACACTTATATAAACTTCTATACACTTCTATACACTTCTATAGACTTCTATACACTTCTATACACTTCTATACACTTCTATATACTTCTATACACTTCTATACACTTCTATTCACTTCTATACACTTCTATACACTTCTATACACTTTTATACACTTCTAAACACTTATATACACTTCTATACATCTTTATATACTTCTATACACTTCTATACACTTCTGTACACTTCTATACACTTTTATACACTTCTATGCACTTCTGTAAACTTCTGTCACTTCTAAACACTTCTATACAATTCTATTCATTTCTATACACTTATATACACTTATATACACTTATATACATTTCTATACACTTCTATACACGTCTATCTTCTATACACTTTTATATACTTCTATACACTTTTATACACTTCTATAGACTTCTATAGACTTCTATACACTTCTATACACTTCTATCTTCTATACACTTCTCTATACACTTCTCTATACACTTCTATATACTTCTATACACTTCTATACACTTCTATACACTTCTATACACTTCTATACACTTCCATACACTTATATCTTCTATACACTTCTAAATACTTCTATAAATAGTTGTAAAATAGTTCCTATCTATCTCAAATCTCAAATAGACCTATAGGAACACTCATTTAGCACAAGTTGTCTATATTGGAGAAAAAACTTTAGGTAAAAGAATCCCACCTTTACCCAATTCAAAAAATCCCCCACGAACACAATTTATTATAGGAATCCACTCACACCCCTGTAGCGCAAATATGCTTGGCACAAATAGGTTTACCCCCCCCCTCTCTCTCTAATATACAAACCTCTGAAAGGAAAATAAGGAATAACAATGGTTCTATGGGTGTAAGCTTTCAGGGGGAAAATATTGCACTTTTCTTAGTTTCTGAAAGAAGGTTATCAGGGTTATATATTTTTCAATAATCTTTGTATAAAGTTTACCATCAAGATTGCAATTGTTTTTTTGTGTTGACAGGTTTCATAGATTGAAAAAAATACAGATAGAACACTAGATGTCTTCTTTTCAAGATTTAGGGGTTTTTCGTTCACAAAAATCTCTAAATCTAAAAGGAAGACATCTAGTGTTTTATCTGTATTGTTAATTAATCTATATCTATCTAAAGATGTTCTATATTTTTTACAAGATAATCTTTATTGTACCATTTACTTTTATTGTAAACTTTGAATGGAAGGAAAACCGAACAATAATAAGTAAAATCTGTTTTCGACTTTCCTATTTTTTCTGCAATTTAAAAATATTGCTGCTAATTTTTCTTTTTAATTAAATCTAACTTTGTTAATTTTCAATAAATGGATTCTTGAGAATAAATTTATCAGGAAAGTTTAAATGTTGTCAGGCAACTTTGTTGGTATTAAACAGACAGGCAGATAATCTAGTTTGAGACAGGCAGATAATCTAGATAGAGACAGGCAGATAATCTAGATAGAGACAGGCAGATAATCTAGATAGAGACTGGTAGATAATCTAGATAGAGACAGGCAGATAATCTAGATAGAGACAGGCATATAATCTAGATAGAGCCAGGCAGATAATTTAGTTTGAGACAGGCAGATATTCTAGATAGAGACAGGCAGATAATCTAGATAGAGACAGGCAGATAATCTAGATAGAGACAGGTAGATAATCTAGATAGAGACAGGCAGATAATCTAGGTAGAGACAGGCAGATAATAAAGAGATATACCTATAGTCCTATTTTTGCTAGAGAGATATTCCTATAGTCCTAGTTGTGCTAGAGATATATTCCTATAGACCTAGTTGTGCTAGAGAGAAATTCCTATAGTCCTAGTTGTGCTAGAGAGATATTCCTATAGTCCTAGTTGTGCTAGAGAGATATTCCTATAGTCCTAGTTTTGCTAGAGAGGTATTCCTATAGTCCTAGTTGTGCTAGAGAGATATTCCTATAGACC